CTTGCCCCGGAAACGGCTGTCACCTCCTCCACGGAGCCCCAGAGCTCAAAACCAGAGGGGGGCAAACCCACGGCCCCGTTCCCCCTGCCTGGGAGGAGGCGGGTGGCAGGTCAGGGCTGGGGGGCTGCCAGGGCCCTGCAGGGTCCCCTCCAGGGGGGGAATCTGGCCGCAGAGGCATCAGCTGTCTGGGGGGCTGGGGGGAAAAAGCACATTTCAGAGCACTTGGAAAGCTGCCGGCTGCCCGCGCAGGGATGAGGGATGGAGGAGCGGGCAGCCATGGAGCTGCCAAGGTCTGGAGGGACTGAGCGCGATGGCAGAGCTGCTCGGGGACACGTCCTGTGCCACCCCGCGCCCCTGTTTCCCCAACCGCAAAAGTGCAAGGAGGGATGAGCAGGGGACAAGGCAGCACCTCCTGGGGATGCGAAATGCAGCCCGTGGCCCCTCCGGAGGGGGCACGCTCTCCAGCGCTGGTGTAGCCATGGGACGGTGCCCAGAGCACCGGTGAGCAGCATCTCTGCTGAGCCACTCCGGCTGGAGGGTCAGGGCAGGGGAAAGGACGTGCTTATGTTACAGCAAAGCCCCAGCAATGCTCCGAGCAGGATCTGCTGCTGAAGGAGGCAGCGTCGGCCGGGGACATCCCCGTCCTTGCCCAGCAGGGACGTGCCTCCCGCACAGACCCCACAGACATTTTCTGGCTGAAGACACGCAGCTGCAGGTGCTGTAGGAGACCCCCAGACCCTGCTCTCCTGTGGCTGGTTTCCGAGGGCCCGTGCAATCGCTGTGTCTACTCCCCAGCTTCGGAAACCAGTGGCCAATTTTAAGTAAACCCTAATGGGAACTGAAGTCCTAAAGCTCCTGAGCTCCTCGACATTTGGGGGCCAGAGGAGCCCAGCAGGGACAGGGCGCAGGGCGAGTGATCGTTTCCTTGGGAGCAGTGGGTGACACCACACTGAGCCAAAGAAAAGAAATATTTCCCTTCAACATACGGCCACGGCAGAGCGCCCCGCAGCCCGCGAGCCCGTGCCTGCTCCAGTTCCGGGGCAGATGCCATCTGTGTTTTTTGGGAAGGGGTCAGCCCCGCAGAGGGGAGGCTGCCAGAGCCCTGGGCACGTTACCTGCTCGACCCAGGCAGCCTGGCCCTGCAACGCAGGAGATCTGCAATTCTGTTCTCCTCCGGGCTCTCACCAAAGCCTTCGTGACACCTCGGTCTGCATACCCCACCGGCACCCGGGGAGACGAGTGATAAAATTACCGACAGGTCCAGGTGACAGCTAAACCCGCTCCACCAGGCTGGGCTCAGCTCTAGGTGCTCGCTGCAGCCCGCTCGCCTGCAGACTTTGACTCACTTGCAATGAGGCAGCTGCGACTCACGGGCGAGTAAACACAAGGCCCCCGCACGGGGAGATGAAAGCAGGGTGCTGCGGAGGGGAAGAGGCGGAGGCAGAAGTAGAGAAAGGCCAAGCGCTGGCTGCGGTGGCTTTGCAAACCTGTCTGGGCAACATCCTGCGCTGCCGCACGCCGGGGAGGACAGGCTTGGCTGCAGCAGCACCTTCGGGCCCCGGCGGCTCTTCTCCCCTAAAGGTGCTTTTCTTCCTCCTCCTCCTCCTCCTCCCTTGGCTGAGCCGGTCTCACACGGAAGCAGCCAGATCTTCCCCCCCCAAAAAGGAAGGGAGGGCAGAGGAAGGCGGTGCCCCGCAGCCCCGTGGGTGACAGCTGGGTGGGTGCCGCACGCCCCCGGACTCGGCGCTTATGGCATCCAAGGTCGGTGTGAAAGGAAAAGCAGATGAAAAGCAACGTGAGCTGACCCGGCACCACTCAGCGCCCGCTCGCAGCCCCACCACAGCCCGGCACTCGGGTCCCCGTGGGTCTGTGCCCTTCCCTGCTTGTGCACAGGATCCGGCCTTGCTCCTGGGGTGCACCAGGGGCTGGGGGGTTGCTGCACCCTCTCCCAAGCAGTGGTGGGTCTCAGCTCCGCAGGGGACTCCGGCCACGGCACTGCGCTGCACCCTCTAGCAGCACCTGGCTGGGGGGAGACATGGTTCCAGCTGAGCTGCACCCATGAAAATCCAGGAGAGGGGCCGGAGGGGGCGTGGGAGGGTCCAGCACCGCTGGCAGGCAGGGAGCCCACGGCAGCCATGCAAGGGGAGTGGGCAGGAGCTGGTGCTGCAGGCAGGGCATGGCCAGGTCCGATACAGCCAGGAGCTACAGCTGTGAAGCCTGTTACTCCCGTCCCGGCCAGGAAAATAACTTGCGGACCCTGAATGCAGAGCCTTGGCCAATCTAGCCCGTCAGCCTCAACGGCTATGCCCACAGCTCCTTTCAGCGGCAGCAAAGAGCCCGTCAGCAAGCCGGTAAGCTTGAACTCACCCCTCCTGCCCGCATCCACCCAAGTTTTAGAGCTGGGAGAATCAGCCCTTGGGTACAGGGACATTGCAGAGACAAGTCAGGACAACCCCAGCCTGCTGGTTGAGCTCCAGCACCCGCCCGCTCTGCCCCACAGCCCTGGGAACGAGCGTGGGGCTCGGAGCAGCCCGGACCCGGCACCTCGAGAGCAGGAGGAATCAAACCTTAGGGCAGCAGAGCCAGGAGCACACACCCAAGAGCTTTTAGCAACTGTAGGAAACAGCTCTCCAGCGTACTTCCCCAGGAGTCCAAACACACCATGTTTGCTTTGCTGATAGAAAGCCTCTGACGAACGCGTAATCACGAGACATTTAGCAATCGGGGCGTGCTATGTAAATACAACATAATTTATTGGTTCCATTTCAGAGAACTATAGTGGTATTTGTACGAGTGTCCTAATGATAGTACAAGAAATGAGAGTCACATATGTACAGAGATTCCAGGACACAGAAAAACTTTGTAAGGAAGAAGTGGTTAGTGGTACAGTTTGGTCACTGTTCATAGAAACCTTTTCTCTTACTGTAAACCCTGCTCCCCCACGCCCCCCCAGATCCTAGGTAGACCTATCTACCTACCTCGGGGGCACTGCAAAGCTCTCGTCACGCAGCGGAGCTGCTTGTGCAAGCAGCAGGCAAGGCTAGCGGTCTCTGGCTGCACACCAGACTTTGGTTACGAGATGTGTGCAGCTGAGCGGGGACGTGCTGCTCGGGAAGAGGGAGAAGGCTCCGTACCCTAGCGGGAAGCAGAAAGCGGTCCACACACAGCCAGCAAGCGAGGCTGGAGGGCAAGCAGCCCAGCTCCTTCTCGGCAGGGTCAGCGTACCCCAAGGAGATGGGGAAGTGCAGGTGTTCGAGAAGACGACTTCCCGACGCCTGTCCCAGCGCCTTCCCCCTGCTCGTTCCCACGAGGCACAGGTCTGCTTGGCCTAATGCTGCCAGTGCGGATCCCCGTCCCCCGTGGGGACGGCGCACCCAGAGCCGCAGCTGGGCCGTGCACGGGGAGAAGCTCAGCTCAGAGCTGGTGTTAAGAGGCAAGAGCAGATTCACAACAGCAGCGCTCCCAGCAGTGACTCCATTAGCAGTGGCGGCGCTGGTCTAGCCATGAAAGAAACCCAAGTCCAACTTCTTTCAGAGGGAAAGCAAGGAGGGCCAAGCCTTGGGGACGGGATGCCAAGTGGAGGGCGAGCACAAAAGCAGCTCTGTCTAAAAACTGGACTCACAGCCAGTGGAAGAGGTGCTGGAACCAAACAGCACCTCGGGGGATCCACGTACACCAGCATTTCTTCCCCAGTCCCCACGTAACCTCCCTTCACGGGCGGGAAATGGGTGTCCGGAGGGAAGTACCGCTTCCATGGCAGCACCAGCTACACGACATGGCTCTATCTGAAGCATCTGGCTCGGCTCGCTTGGTGCCGCTGCAGTGAGGGGACGGGGAAGAGGCAGTACAGGGTGGCTCTTCCCTCCTCAAAGAGCGAGCATTTCCACCAAGTGGCCCAAAATATTTTCTTTTTTTTATAGAAATTACTATAAAAAACTAGTTTATCTAGAGCATCTTTAAAAAAATATTCCTGCAATATCACAGTTTTACATTGAAACTCATTAAAAATATAGAGATTTCTTTAACAAAACGTCTCTGTTCTCCCCTTGAATCACGTCTCCAGTACAGGAGTGGGACTCGGAGTCCTCGGAAGAGACACCGAGCTGGGAGCAGGAAGGTCTGGTCTCAGTGGCACATCCGGGAGGTCATTTCCTTCTGTCAAAGGGACAGAAAAGACAAGGGAGCGTGAATGAAGATCCCGATTGCCAGGTGAGGGTGAAAAAACTTCACCTTTGTTTAGTCGTAAATACCCTTTTCGGGCGACAGGTGACACTGTAACTAAGAGCTCCAGCTGGGGCAGGTCCCTGTTCCCCCCACCACTCCCATTCCCGTGGCACCGGCAGGACACCCTTCCACTGCCCGACGGCTCTGCAGGTCTGCTCTGTTGCTTACGGCTTTAGAAACACCATCACCACCTCCTAGGGCTAACTGGTCACATTCTCCATCCTCCAGACTCCTTGCGAAGGCGATGGTGTCGCCCCTGCTTTCCAGCATGGGAAGTAAGCACGGGGAGAGGGTTTTAGCCATCCACATCCTGGATGGCTGACAGTGCCGGGCTCACGCAGTGCACGCAAACGAGGCAAGCCAGCTGCTAGAAACGCAAGGAGGTTGCTGGAGAACAAGTCAACTTCCCCCCAACCGATGCCCAAATGACCCTGGCTCAGCTGTGCCCGCGCGTCCTGACTCACAGTTTCCTGCCGGTCAAACCGCAAGGCCGACCGATGTCCTGAATTTGGGCAACCAGTTTTGAGAAAGTACCAGAGACCTCTGTGACTCCTCCACCCCCAGCCCGCCCCTTCTGCGCTGGCTGCAGACCCCGACAGACCAACGTGCACCCTGAGCCCACCCAGACACTCACCAGTGGTTCCAGCTCCTTGGTGTCTATGAGATTGAACTCTTTCACAAAGTAGTAAAAGTGCTTGTAGCAGGTGTTCACGTGGGCTTCCGACCCCATCTGGGTGATCCTGTCGAAATGGTGGATGTAGACGTGGACAAAGACCCGGAAGAGCCTGGAGAGAATCTTCTTCACCACCGGGAGGAAGTTCTTGGGGAAGGGAGTACCTGGGAGGGAAGACACAACCAGGAGAAACTTTCAGCGAAGTTAAAACTGGTTCCTTGGGGCTAAAATAAATGGATAGAACGGATAGATTGAGACAAAAGGGCTTCTGTCCCTGGTAATTTCCAGTTCCCCTATCCTTTTTCCTTTCCATTTAGATCAGATTTTTCAAAGCACAGATTTCTTAACTGACAGAGTGCTGCACGCCATCGATTGCTGCCAGCGACTGAAAACAAGAGACCAGCCTCGGAGATTCCCGGCAGCTGTTTCAGTCTGATAGAGTTTTCTTCCAGTCCTATTTGGCATGTTTATATAAACAGTGCAAAATACTAGATATGACCAAGCAGCTTCCCAAAAGAAAGAGTCGGTGCTGTTAACTCCCCACAGTTGTCTCTTATTTTGATACATCTTTAGCTCTTTGGTTAAAAATTAAAGACGTTAAGGTCCTCTTTAAAGGCATCAGTTCTTCAGGATTTGTTTAGCCAGGGCCCTGCAGTGGAGCGGTCTGGCCAACCAGCCATCTCAGTAGAATACTACAGTTTAAAGTTCACACAGGTCGTTTCTGAAGGAATGAGGATTAGTTAAACCCTTTCAGTGCTCTGCAAGAACTGCAGCATTTCAGTCGGTGATAAGGGCGAGGAATCTGGTAAAAGCTGAGCTGAAAACAACAATAACAATAAAAAAAAACCCCCACACAACCCTCCTGCTGTCGGAAACTTGTCTGGCCTCCCTGAACAGAACAAACACCCTGCTTATAGTCCCCAGAGAGTCTTGCAGAAGAGTCCTAACTAAAGGCAACACAGCAGCCGTTTGGGTGGCAGGAGGAACGGGTGAGGAGGATTTCAGTGCTTCAGCTGCCTGAAGAACTGGCTGTTTACGGCCCTGCTCCCCCCCTCTGCCCGCTCAACACCAGGTTTAAGCAGCATTTTGGCACGGGTGGAGGAGCCCCGCGGGTGCTCGTGTGGCAGAGGCGGCAGACGCGTCCCAAACAGGGGCCAACTGCGTCCCATCAGAGCTTCGATGGGATCAACGCCGGGGCAGGAGGGAGGGAGCTCTGTTGCGTCTTGTCTTTTGCATCCCAGAAGATGGGAGCTCTGAATGGAACCAATCGTATTTACCTAATGCTTTAGATACTGAATTCTCACATCTTATTCAACACAAAATAAACAAACCTCCCAACAATCTTTGTCCCAAAGCCAGTACACGAAGCTGCGTTTGGATATGCAGATTTAGGTGTCTTAGGCCAAATTCTCGTTTCCATCACCCTGGCAATAGATGAAACGCCGCCCCTCCCTCCACGCACGTGTCAGCATCCCACCCAGCTGCAACAAACAGCCGAGTGCACGCCGGGAAGCACTGAGCTAGAAAGGGCAGAGTCAGCTAACGCCAGCCTGTAATAACAAAGAGGCTAATTATGGAAACGTGGCCACCATCACCAGGCCGACGCAGAGCACGCGCGTTGAACCCAAGCTAGCAATCAGCTCTAAAAGAGCTGTCCTTCAGGAGACCACGTCCAGCATGAACTACTGAAGAGTCAGGTCAGAGACTGATTTTTCTAAGAGCAGCCTCTTGTTTTCACTGCCTCGGCTCAGCTTGGCTTTACTCGAGGTATCCATGACTCCAAATGGGATCTGGTACAGCTCTGGGTATTTCAGAGGAGCTCTGAAGTTTCTCAGGTGCTCGGAAGAGCTTACTACGCTGCCAGCCTGTGACCAGCACAAAAGGAAACGGCTCTGCTACAAGGGTGACCTGTGCAACAGCATCTCCTGGAACAGAAACGGGAGCCGAGGGCTCGAAGGAGAAGGCTCTGCACCAGCCTCCCTCCCCCCAGCCGCAACTGGACCTGAACTCACCAACATTAGTGGGAAAGATGTCCTCGTTGTTGATCTGTACCTCAATCCAGTCCATCAGGAGGTTCATGTACTGGGGAGCAGACAGGGCCGTGGGTTTTCGGTACTTGTGCTCGTCCTGCCATCGGTACTCGTACTTGGGTCCCCCCGACATGACGGGGCAGGACTGCTCTGTGCAATAGTCACTGATGGTGCCGTAGATCAGGTTGATGCGGTTGAAGAAGTCCACCACGTGCACGGCCACCCAGTCATTCTGTTCCTCTCCCGGCGGCAGCTGGACGGCAACTTTCAAGTCCAGGCCAGCGTTGAGTGAGGCTTGAGCCTTCTTGTGCAGCTCAAACCGCTGAGTCCCTGGCTCAAACTTGCGCTTGGGCCGGAAGGTTTTGTCTTTATTGAACACCTGCTTTAAAGCATGGGACATTTTTCTTCTTTTCTTCTTTCTTTTCCAGGTCCGTAGCGATGACAGCCGGAGACGCAGCGCTGCTGGGCCACTTCCCGGGGCAGGGCTGGGGCGACTCTGATCTTCACAGAAACCTCCCTCTGCTCATCTGGTCCTGATCTGCAAGGCAGCACAGAAGGGCAGCGATTAGGAACAGCTCTCTCAACAGGAAACCTTGTCTAAATCCCATAGGAAGAGATCTGGGATACCACCTGGGCCCTCGCCCCAGATCTGAGAAGGGGGGAAGAAGCCGACGCCAGCTTTCTTTCCTCCCCCTTCTCTTTCCTCCCCCTTCTCTTTCCAGCCCAGCTTGCAGCAGAACGGCGGCTCGGCTGTCAGAGGCGACCTGGGCCGAACGAAGAGTCACCCCTGCAAGGTCTCCCTACACGCTCAGCGTGGGGATGAGGGAACCAGCCCCACAGCCCCATAGGGAAGAGGTGCGGCCTCTGCCTTGCAGCAGAGCGGCGGCTCGGCTGTCAGAGGCGACCTGGGCCGAACGAAGAGTCACCCCTGCAAGGTCTCCCTACACGCTCAGCGTGGGGATGAGGGAACCAGCCCCACAGCCCCATAGGGAAGAGGTGCGGCCTCTGCAGGAGATGGCTGCCGTTCACCCCGACGTCACCGCACCAAGAGACCCAAACCCCGCAGAAACAAGGAGAAACTCCACCACCTATTCAGCTCCAATACACCAAATAATTAAGAAGGGTAAAACAAGCTGGGTTTTACCTGGGTCAGATTTTTCACCTACGCTTCCCTCCCTCTTTGGAAACAAGCCTACCGAAAAGGTAGGGTTATAACAACCTACAACAAAATTCAGATCTGTTGCCAGACGTACTCCAGCAAAACAGCTGTTTGAGCAGGAGCTGCGCGCGCTGTCGTAGCGCTAAAGACAGGACACGAAAGGGCAGAGGAGAAGAAGAAGAAGAAGTTGCAGCTCAGGCACCCAGAAAGAGAATATCCTGAAATAACACCAGCTCTAAGAGCAGTCACAGCCTCTTCTGCAGGTGCAGACAGACCATAAACATACTTTTCATTTCAGTTTAGCTCACTTCAAGTTGAAGGCCGGTTGAAAGCTGGAAGACCAGGGAAAGCTCGCCTTCCTCTTCCAGTTTGTGGAAAAGAATTAGCTCCAAGAGGATGAGACACAAGTTAAGATCTGAAAGGATGCTGACGAGAAACACAGCTCTGTTTATCTGTAGCTAATTATACCTCCTTTGTTCCCACATCCATCCCCTCGTATAATTTGTGTCAAGCTGCTCTTTGATGGAAGCTCAAGGCAGAAAGCTGTGTGTACCAAAAATATTATTTTATGTGTGCAGGACAGAGAAATAAATAAAGTAACAGAAATTAACTAAAGTTGATGCCTTACCTAATCTGGCAAATAAGAGTTTCCATAATTTTGTAAGAAAGCAAGCAAACAAATCCCTTTCACCAAGCAGAAAATCTACTGAGATTTATACGAAGCCATAGTGCTGTTCACATAGGTAAATAGTATCCTCAACTGTTGGCAAGAAAATCCCAAATTCAAGGTCAAGACTACCTTTGCCACAATTCCACCCGTCTCTAACAGATGCTGCACAGTGCTAATCAGCATTTCTTCTCTGGAGAAAGATTAAAAAGATTTAAACCAAGGCCTCTTGTTTTCTTATTTAATTGCAGCAAGGAAGAAAACCCAAACCACTTCAGTTCGTCCCACTAAGAACAGGCTCGACATTTCCTAGTGCTGCTTTTGCTGCAGTAACCTCTTCTGTGCAGGAGCAGAGAGATCCAAACTCCTGTTGCAACATGGGCCACGACACGCGTTGGGAGAAACCGAAAAAGCATTTTAATGTGTTCAGCGAGATCCACCCTGGGCTGCAAGGCGAATTCACCGCACGCATGCTTTCGCTGCACATAGCACTGCTAAAACAGCTGCTGCGACCCCATAAGCTACCGTGCGAGAGTCAAAAAAAGAAAAGAAGAAGAAACCCCCCAGAAAACGTGTCCTTAGGAGGTGTTTGATCACACCACAGACACGGTTAGAGGAAGTAGCTGAACGGCGCGGAGGGACATCTGAGCACGAGGCGGCAGCTTTGGTTACCGAGAGCTGTGTCAGAGCCTCACCACATCCTGCAGCAAAACGCCGAGGCGACCCGGCGGGGCGGAAGCACCGGGGGACTGCGCCCACCCCGCCGCGGTGCCACGTCCGGAGCAAAGGCAGGGCCGGCCTCCGAGTAACGAGCAATGTGGACAGCAGGTGCTGAGTCTGCAGCTATTTCCAGCAGGAAATCAGTCCCAGAGAAGTACTTGCACACAATGATTTCCTTACACTGGAGATGGAGAAAGAAACGTCCTTTAAAACAAACAAGCCATAAAGAAGCACAAGCATCGCCCTCCATACAGGTCCCCGGAAGACTGGCAGCATCCTTGGCGCGGTACGACTCTGTTCCTACTCATTTTCTGTAAGATCTGTCTGATTGCAGCGACCGCGCTCCCATCCGCGCCGGCCCGAGACTGCAGCCGGGCGCCGTCCCTTCCGCTGGACAAGGACGTGTTTCTCGAGCAGGGGGCAGGCTGCGGCCGCAGGGCCCGGCACAGGGAAGAGGATGGGGTAAAGCTGAATGGCAAAACCGCAGGGGAAAAAACCAAACATCCCCTGAGCTTGGCCACACACATCAAGAAGCAAACACCGACCATTTCCCAGAAGAAATTGTCATTTGAGCAGGGCGGAGAGACTTTTAATAGGGCTTATTTGGTATCGAGGCAGTACCTGTCCTACAAACAACTTCCTCTTCCTACAGAGAGGAAGAGATGAGAGTTCACTCCCTGTGAGAACTGGGGAGCTCGAAACAGTAGCAATCATCTCTCAGACGATTCAGCATCTGTCTGAAGGCATTAGCAAAATGAGTAGCTAAGACTTCAAGCAGATGCAGCCTATTTAATTATGGTCTTTGACTGCAACTGAGCTAAAAGAAACATTTAGCTCTAGGGGAGAAAAAAAAAAAAAAAAAGGCACAGACCAAAAGCATCTCTGACATTGCTTGAAGATGATATCACACGTACAACACCTACTTCCACAGGCAGGAGTCGCAGCTCGGGCAGCACTAAGGCACTGCCTTCGCACAGGAGAGAAAGGAAAGGTTAGGAACAATTAGGATATGGGACATGCAAAGCACCTGAACGGTATTTGCAAGCTCCAAAGGTGAGGGAAACACCCCCACCCCCCCCCAACAAACCTGCAGTACATTTTGTTTACTCCTCCTTTCCAGCCAGCCAAGAGTACAGCACACGTCACCGGTGCTCCGAGCGGACCTTGGCCATCCCTCCGAGATCACACAACCGCCGCAGAAAGCCCCACGCCGTGGCAGGCTGTCCGGGGGACAACCAAAACTCCCCCTTC